GTCCCCCCGAAGTACAACTACAACTACGGCGTCGCCGACGGCTACTCCGGCGTCAACCTCGGCCACTCGGAGTCCCGCGACGGCTACAAGACCGAGGGCAGCTACACCGTCGACCTCCCCGACGGCCGCAAGCAGACCGTCAAGTACGTGGACAACGGCGACGGTTATGTGGCTGAGGTCATCTACGAGGGCGAGGCTCAGTACCCCGAGTACAAGCCCACCTACAAGCCCGCTCCTTACCACGCTCCCCCCAAGTACCCCGTGTACTAAAGGTGTACATTCTCGCATAAGACAACTTCCTCTGAATCTTGACCGGACCCTGAAACGTGCCAAAGCATATCGAAATGGTTGTGGTTGGCATTGTACGGTTGGGATAAGAATATGTGATACTATTTAATTCATTTCAGATTTTTAATAAAACAGATACAGAAAAAAACGCAATTTCTATACCCATGCAAAAGCTAAAATCCCAATTTCAACATCAACGAGAAAAAAAAAAAAAAAAATAATCATATCAGACATGTTAATATGCCTCATTCAATTCATCTTGTGTATACTACTGCTAACCAACCTGATATATGTTATTTACACGGTGCAGTGAATTAATTCTATGTTACATATATCCTTGATGCATTTCCAGAAACAAGTGAACCTTTAAATGACAGTACTGAGAGATTATAAGTACCAATACGTTGAAAATTCTTGGAAATGAACATACAGACTCAAAGCTGTCTTCTAAACATGTACACATATCCATATATATATATATATATATATATATATATTATATATATATATATATATATATATATATATATATATATATATATACATGCGTCTATATATATGCATATATGCATGTGTATATACATATGTATATGTATATAGATACACACACTATCATATGTACCTGTGTATCCACGTATACAAGTGTATATGTATGTGTATATATATATATCCTTTTCCTTCCACAGCCGATGATTCTACAGCAAGACAAAGGCCTCTCTCATTGCTCGTATTAAGAGGTTATTTGGCAATGCCGCCTTCGCCTGATTGAACCCAGATCAACTGAGCCCCGGATGCAACTTCACTTCCAAGTGCGCCTGACCTCTGAAGGGAGCATGTCGTTTTCTCTCCGTGAGATCGGGCTTGAGCCACCTGTCGAAGGCATTTTGCAACAGCCGCGGTACGGATTCAATTACGGGACCAAGAGTTTCATATATATATATATATATATATATATATATATATATATATATATATATATATATATATATATATATATATATATATATATATATACATATATATATATATATATATATATATATATATTTATATATATGTATATATTTATAATGTATATATATACGTGTGTGCATATACCTACATATACATACATGCATAAATGCACACACGCACATATATATATATATAATATATAATATTAATATATATATTATATATATATATATATATATATATGTGTGTGTGTGTGTGTGTGTGTGTGTACATATATCTACACACACACACACACACACACACACACACACACACACACACACACACACACACACACACAATATATATATATATATTATATATAATATATATATATTTATATATATATATATATATATATATATATATATATATATATATATATATAACCACTGGACCATCGCAGCAGTCAAATACACGGACACACATTTATATGTGATTGCTATGTATATGTATATCCATACTGTTTTCTCTTCTCTTTCTCTCGATCTCTCTCTCTGTCTATTTTTATATATTTTTGCATATATATAGATAGATAAACAGATATAAATATATACATATGTTCATATATGGACATATGTGTATATACATATATGTATATATATACTGTATATATGTACCTATATGCATACATATACATATGTATATATGTACATACACGCACACACACATGTATATACATATCCATGTATACATATATACATGTATATATATACATATATATATATATATACATATATACATATATATGTACATATATATACATACATATATACATATATATACATATGTATATACATATATACTTTCTTATATACATACATACACAGATATATTTGTGTGTATATATATTAAGGCATACATATATACATGTGTGTGTTTGCGTGTGCATATTATTTAAAGACGCACATACTTATATATGTTTTATAGATAGAAAAGGAAAAATGAAAAAGAAACATTAAGACAAATAGCTAGTTAGCAACAGAGAAAAATGCCATTTAGAAAAAAATATATACTTTTCTTTCTTCCATTCATAGAATTTCATATTCAAAAAATATCATCAGAATATACAAACAGTAAAAAATCAAGCAGTATTCTATTTTGAAGACCTTTTCAGCCACTTCCAACAAGGTGAGTGGCCTTGAACTCGCCTGAGCAGAGGATATGGACCACTATATAAGCGGCTGAGACACTTCCTCGCCATCAAACGTCAGCCATG